TACTCTGTTCTACGTGTTGATTGGCTACCGTGGTGGACACGGTAGCTGTTGTGTGACAACGGCCCGTCACATGACATCACTGATGTGTTGGCGTCCCTGATGATTGTGTTTGATGGCATTGAATAGTGATCAAGTGTTATTGTTTTTTTATTTAGTTGTCTGATAACAAACTGTGTATGACGCAATGTTACTTGATTCGTTTTTAGTGCTATACTTCTTTCTGCAATATCCCCACCTTGTTTTCAAGGTTGGGCTATTATGTAATTTGTACTGATACTAGGGTAATCGTTTACCACAGTATTCACTCACGCTGTTTCTTTCAGGGGTTTCCTATCGAGTTTCGGATCTCCGTGGCTGTTGTTAGTTAAAATTTGTTGTTGCCCTTGAGAATTTACAAACCATACTCTTCCACCCCATCACCGTCAGCGAGCTTCTCTAATTCTAGAATCACCTCTGACAGGTCTGGACGATCGCCAGAAAAAACAAACCATCCTCTTTACCAATTCCAAGTGTGGATCTATATCGTCTCAGGTTTATTGCCAGAATCTCACTATTGTGGATACACTGACGGATTACTTCATTGTGGCTGTATGCACTCCATGGGTTACTGGAACTCACTGCACATCTTACTTACGAGTTGGAGTCAAGATCACCATATTTGCGAACTCTGGAGCCCGCCCCACCATAGCACCCAGTGTATCTTTCATTCTCTTTACGGGACATAATCCTGAGTCAGGGGTTCCGAATAATATACGGAAGTGGAAATATATTCCGTATTTTCCGTGAAATTATTGATTTTGTCTGCACAGATAATAGAATCCGTGATTTACTTTTTTTATCTCGACAGACTTCAATATTTTATTTTTTATGTTGTACCACGCATCCCTAAGTACATAATACTATACCATAATGAAGAGAATATTGTTTGTAACCTTGTAAGATTTATATGCTCTAGTGTCCAGTGGATTCGAAAGCACGGCCTTTAGTCCGAACTATCGCTCTGCTGTCATGTGTAAATTTTCCAGCTACATTGAGCCTTACCGCTCCTCGACCTCTCACCATGGCACCCACCGACACGCTTCTGCAAGTAGCACGCCCCCAAGCGAAGTTTTTGCCGAAGCAGGTGGCTACGTTCTTTTTCAAGCGCCTAGTAAATGGCAACAACGACCCTACCGGCTACTTCGAATGCAAGGCTTGCGGTCGGTCCCGCAAGCAGGCTGCCGGAACAGGGTATACCTACCTGGTAAACCATGTTCGCAACGAGCATCCGACGTTTGAGAGAGAGATGGAGAGTTCCTCCGCTTCAGCCACCGG